TATATCACATATAGCAACATCTGGGCTGGGCAGTGTCAAGATATTACATTTTGGATATTGCCAAAACCTAAGAAGTATATTTCCTATAGTGATGAATCATTCCTTTAAAATGTATATATTTCACTATGGAAGTTCAGTTATCTGTTTCTACTCTGTCAGCATTTTGAGACAAGTGGGGTTTTGTAGTCAGTTCATTCATACTTCATTACACAGTAACTCATGTCACAGATGTTTTATTGCTGGAAATATTATATCAGCATCAGCAGAAGTAGACGGACAAGTTAATGTTAAGACTGGCATGAACAATGAACATCACAGTTGGTGTATTTCCATATTTTTCCTGTAGCATCTGCTGTGGGGGTGTACAAATATCATCTCACTGTTTCTGACTGTATCTTTGCTCTCTATTTCTATTTTCTCTTTTCAATCTATCTGGCTGTATTTCTTTTTTCATCATCTTCTCTCATTTTCTCCACCCTGTCAGTGCAGTGAAATGGCCCATTGTAAAAGAGCAGATTGTGTGAGTCTGAGACATTAGCTGCTGATTTAGTGGGACATTAGCTTGATGGATTGGTAGGAAGAAAACTCCCAACAACAGTTGATTTGCATCCGGAGAAACTTGGCTGAAAATGAACAACGTTCAGCATTCTCATCGTTTATACTCTGCGTCTAATGATGACTTCCACAGCACTGTGTCACAGAAGATGAAACATCGAGTCCTTCACAGTTAAAAGAGTGGTATCAGAGCACCTCAACTCTTTTTATTCTGTTTTTTTCAATATACAGTTGATATAACTTTTTGACCTGACATATTATGAGGATGGAATTTTGGAAGTATTTATTTTCTCTTAAAGGCTGATTGTATGTCATCATGGTTCCCTCTGTTGATGCTGATGATGATAATTTAGTCAATATTCATCATTATTGACAGCACAGTTAAAGATCTGTATTTTGATTTGTCATGAGGTATGTTCCAGAAAATATGAAACTACAAGTGCTGCCCTCAATGGATCTATAATCTGAAAATAAGAAGCTCCTACATACTATCATGACAGATTTGGCTTTCTAGAACAGATAATGAATCTTTGGCTCCCTCAACACTTGTGGTTAACAAGACAGACAGCACATTGAGCTGAACCAGTGTGTGTTTCTGGTGTGTATGATGACCAGTACATCTTTTAGCCTTTCACATTCTGCCACAGTCAAAATTAGCCTATACCCAATGGCACTGTCCTATTACTGGTTAACATATGAGAGCAATCCAGATGAATCGTGAGGGGATTGAGTGTGTGTGTGTGTGTGTGTGTGTGTGTGTGTGTGTGTGTGTGTGTGTGTGTCTCTCTCTCTCTAAGCATGCGTGTTTACACTTAATTTACTCTATGCTGAGACCAAGTGTCCGTACAAGGACACAAAAATCAGTGACTATATTAGTCTTTGCGCGTGGGCCACTTTATATTCACGGTTCATCTTTTCAAATAGAGTTACTTTATAAAATCCAGGGTTATATACAGAATGAGTCAGTTTAATGTTCTGAGACTAGCGATACAAAGTAGTGTGTACGTGTGTGCATGCATGTGAGTGTGCACCTCATTAGCATGACACTTGGAGGTGGGCTACCTGAGAGGTTTGTTAATATTCTGCCCAATTCCCCCCATCGACCTCTTTATCTCATTGCTAGTGTAACTGTCGCCTTCAATTGACCAATACACACACAAACATGCACACACAATCAGACATACTCACACGCACAAACAGATTGACACTCCCACCCCGTTTCTCTCCCAGTACCCTTTACTTTGACTCTTTTTATTCACCCATGCACACATACATGCTCTTTTTTCTGTCACACACACACACACACACATCTTCTGTATCTCTCCTTCCCTCATCCCTGTGTCCATCCATCTCTCTTTCTACCACTCTCGCTCTCTCCGTCTCTCTTTCGCTCTGTAACAAACAACAGTGCAGAATGGATGTCCCCTTCATTTGCTCCGGCATAATGTTCTGATGAAAAATGAAGTGATCCCTCCAGACAGATTAGTCATCAGTGAGGGGACCTCTGCAGGAGAGGAGGATATGAGTGTGTGTGTGTGTGTGTGTGTCTGTCTGTCTGTCTGTCTGTGTGTGTGTGTGTGTGTGTGTGTCTGTGTGTGTCTGTGTGTGTCTGTGTGTGTCTGTGTGTGTGTGTGTGTGTGTGTGTGTGCGTGCGTGGGTGTGCGAAATAGATAAATTACTTTCCCGGAGGCCTTCTGTTTGAGTAGGTAATATTTCAGCATATATTATTGGAGAGCCTCGATCTGTTCGCATTAAGAGCTTTCATCCGTTGTTCTGTCCTCAGTAACTGATGCTGAGCATGAACTTTTGTGAACTTGAACCATCTTAGTTTATCTTCGCTCGCCTCTTTAGTGCAGTCAGATTGTCGTAGTCACAACCTCAGCTGAAAAATGTCTTCCTTATTTCCACAGAAGTGACCTTTGTCATTATCTACTGTAGACCTTCCCAGTCATTCTGGTAACACCAAAATAATATATACGTGTTGGTACTTTCTCTTCACACTAGCTGCTGCTGGCACTGTAGTGTTTCAGACTTATTTTTGTTGTTGCACCCTCACCCCAGTGAGCATTGATATGTTGATTTACATGTCGAAAGATGTCAAGGCAACTGGTTGCACTAGAGGAAGAGTCATTTTCATGCACTTAAGTAATCGGGTTACAGTTGACTTTCTTCAGGAAGCTGATTCTGTTACTATCACGTAAACAAGAAACCTGTTTTTTCTGATCGGAGAAATCATGTTTACCCAGTTAGATTTTTCCTGGCCACGTATACTATACTGAATGACTGTGTTTCTAATTGGCTACTTACAAGTACTTATGTGCATGGCAAAGAGACAGGGAGGTGGATGAGAGAGATCCCCACATCGAGTGATATGTTCTAGCATTTAAAATTATTCCAACTAGAGTCAAATTAAAGCCTTTTAAAGTCTAAGTTAGTCTCTAACTCCAACATGTGACTATCTGTTAAATTCAAACATATTTGTGCTGTGAGGAAAAGCTGTTCTCTATCTGTCTGTCCTCTCACTGCACTGTCTGCTCCGACACATGCCAAAAAAAAGTTGTCTTCTTTCACTACAGTTAAAATCAATAAGCCTTCTAAAAGACGCTTGGGTGTAAGGGAGGAATTAAACTGACTGATATGTTGAATGTATAGGTGGATTTACAGTAACCAGGTAACTGCAGTGCATACGTATAGTACACTATGTGTTCTCCAGTTACCCATCTAACCTAGTTTCGCTAAGTAACCCTGTTACTTAAGTCCATGTAAATCCACTGAATAAGTTTCTTCCACTGGAGACCAAGAATGTCTGTACAAAATATACATGCAGGTTATATTTACCTGCAGTATTTAAGCTTTAGGTGAGTAATAGTTATAGTATTATTATTGGCATTTGTAGTTTTTTTTCTTAGGCAACTTTTAAGGAACAAGATGTTGGGTTAAAGTTTATGTTTGAGGTGCAAACATGAACCACATGAGGAAGCTTCCATGGGCGATTTCTTCATTTCCACTCTGATGCACCAATGGTGCAGAAGCAGAGAAACACTGCAGGTCATTCAATTTTATGTTTTCTAAGTGTTTTACACTTAAGAATGGCAAAGTCTCTCACAGGGAGATCAGAGATCAAAGTCAGCTACTGCACACCACTGACATGGACATAGACCAACTCTGTGTCAGATTGTGCAGCACAGTCAAAGTCTTCTGAAGCTAAACAATGGCATCGTGGCTCCAAGTGATATTCCTCTAGGAATTGTTACTTTTCGTCTATTGCAGCCACACTTTCCATATCACAGTTCACACTTTGCTCTGTTTGAATAGGTATCCATCTGTTGTCACACTCAAAACAACTGAAAGAGCTCTGCTCCCAGTGACTTCATTACATTAATTTTAGCTTACTTTGATCAAAGAAAAAGAACTGTCTGCCAAATTCCTGTGCCCGGCCTTTTTCTAAATTGAACTGAACACAATCAAATTTGCTTCAGTTTAATTTGTTTGAACCTGAATATTCATAAGTGGAACTCAGAAGAGAGGATGAGGCAGTGGCAGCAGCTGCACAGCCCGTGGGAGGTCACAGGTCAGGCAGTGCCAGCAGACTAAGAGAGCTGTAACCCTGCTTGAGGAGCTGAAAAAATATTATATTTCCACACTTTACAAATGTATCCTGGAACAAACAGACCAGAAGCAGAAAGAGTACCTGCTGGCAGTCAAATGCTGCATGACTCTTGTCTGACACTGCACTGCTTCTGATGCCCAGCTGACACAGCAAAACAAAAAAAAAAGGTGCACAGTCGATCTGGCACATCAGCATCCAAACAATGTAAGTGGTTCGGATTGACTTAGGTGTGATTAGAGTGATGCTGCTTCTGTGTACAAGTGGAAACAGACATACTAAGGTGATTAGATGTGTGCATGGGCACAGTGAATCCTAGAAGGCTAGTAATGAATACTGGTTTAAATGTCTTTTTGACTTGTTTGGGATTATATTTAAGTAAGTAAACTTTATTTATAAAGCACCTTTCGAAACCTGGGTAACAAGATGTTGTAAGGTGGAAACAATAAGAAAATACATAGTTAAAGGAGATAAAAATATGAAAACAATAAAAGTTACACAGAGGGCAATCACACATTTCAGGATAAAGTACATTACGAGATACTGAGTCAGCATTTTTTATATTTAAGGGAAGCCAGTTCCAGAGAGTGGGGGCCACAACTGCGCATCACTCTTAGCTTGCTGCTAAGAGTAATTTTAGAGCCACTTCAGTTGTTCTGTAAAAGGCTAATGGAACAGTGCTGTGTGTTACTGATGCTTTCTTCACTGGTGTTTCAACTAATGTGGCTGCCATTGTCATTTTTGCAAGAACTGTTGAGTCACAACTTCCGCTGTCTCTCTCTCTCTCTATCTCTCTCTGCCTCTCTATCTCTCTCTCTCTCTCTCTCTCTCCATCCAGTCAAAACAACGATTCTGAACTACCAGAGTCCCAACACAGGCCTGTTCCCGGTCAAAACATGTTCCACCTGCAAGGAGGCCAAGGTCCGGGACTCCCTGTACTGTGCTGCTGGTGCCTGGGCCCTGGCTATGGCCTACCGGTTAGTGCACCACACGCACGCACATGCACAATAAACGATAAAGCGTGCAAAATTTGTTTTATGTCTGGAAAACTGAATGCAGTACCTGTAATGTGTGTGGCCTTAGGGAGGCACTCCATTTGTGTTAATTATTACATAAATGTGGAGCCAATCCCAGCTGACATCGGGTTGGGGTACACCCTGGATGGGTGGCCAGTCCATCACAGGGCTGATCATTCACGCTCACATTCACACCTACACCAATTTAGAGTCGCTGAGTCCAGAACCTTCTAGCTGTGAGATGACAGTGCTAAGAACTGTACCATATTATACATAATATTGGGCTAAAAGTTAGAGCCCATAGCTTCATGCCCCAGACAAAAATCATTTAGGATGGAGACTAACCAGTGTGTTTGGTGAATGCAACACTATAATGAATTTGGCTGTTCCTGGTGGAGTGTAAACTTCCCCAAGTTCAATAAGGAGCAGGGCAGAGCCGCTGACACTCTTATAGCATCCAGATCGAACTTCCACGTAGTAGGGAAATATGGCACAGTGGATGTGCTGGTTGTTACTGAGTCTGTTTTAAAATAACTTGTAACCCCACAAACTAATGCGATTAGTCACTGACATGCTCCTTGGCCTCGGAAGTAAGACCATAACTACTGAAGGTGTGAAGCTAGCTAGCCAGACATGCAAACAGCTGCAGCTTATGTTCTAACAGATAAACAGATAAATGGTTTTTGAAAGGCAAAACATAACTATATGGTAATTATTATTATGGTGAACACAATGAGTCACTTCGGTAAGTGCAGCTTTTTTTTCTGCAGAGTGCTTGCTGCTATGTACAGGAAAGGATAGTGTTGGTGATCTTCTGCTAAAACATTGGTCATAGACAGAAATAAAAGAACAGACGCTGATCGACCCAGAGATTAATAAAAGATTATTATAATAAGGGGACAAGGCTCACACAAAACTGTCCCAACAATAGAGAGTCAGGCTAATCTTTTATAGAACAAGAACAAGGGACGAAGAAATTAACACAAACTCGTAAAGATACATATCAGTTTATGATTACAACTAATAGCCAACACCCACGAGATGTACATACACATGTCTGCTACTTGAGTATATGTCCTATGACACAAGAAACCTTAAGTTTCATAAAGACCTAAATCACCTGCAGCTTTTGACCTCTTTAAGCATGAACATGATGAGGAGAACAGTGGGCTTCTTCAACGTATGACAAGAGCACATTCATTTCTAATAACAAAATCAATTTCATAAAAGAAACTCATGACTGAATGAATAGTCATCTAATGATTTTACCTCTACATTTTGATATTAAAAATGATAAATCAGCCATTTAATCTTGTATTACTTTCACAATAAATTCCATAATTTTGCATGTGACTATGCAAGTGAACCATAAATGACATAAAAACCTCTGCACAAATAGAGCAAATTTCAGTTATATTTGATGATGCTCTCCGTCAGGGTCTGTCAGGGTGATAAAATGATTGCATTTGTACAAAATGATCGACAACAGAGATTTGTATGTTTGACCCACTGGTTGTGGGAGACACTACTGTGCAGTAAAAGTAATGTAAAAGAAACAGAAAATTGACAAGCAGATCACTCATAGTTCATAGAGCATTATGTGCCAAACAGACCAAGAATGCCCAGTTTTTTGAAACAGTGTTCTGGCCCTGTATGACTTTTTCTTCAACTTTTGTTATCGTTAAACTATCTTCTGTTTCATACTTACTGACCCTGATCTTTAATCTGCCTCTCTGATTTGAAGGCTTTGCTTTTAAAACACATCTCAATTATTGGTTCAAGGAGAACACTTAAGGATTGCTCCGAGAACAGACGAAAAAGGCCCCAAACTCCTTTCACAACTGTGCCTGCTCTTGATGCCTGCATTCCCCAGTGATTAGTTTCTAGGAAAAAGAGCACTTTCACAAAATGAGCCTCTAATAGGACAGAGAGAGAGAGAGAGAGAGAGAGAGAGAGAGAGAGAGAGGGGAATGGATGGAGCGAGAGAGAGAAAGAGAGGGAGAGAGAGAGAGAGAGAGAGAGAGAGAGAGAGAGAGACAGATTGGAAGGATGGAGCCAGAGCGGAAACGGGAGGAGGATCCAGAGAGAGAGAGAGAGACTGAAGGAGAAGATGGGAGGGGGGAGTTGGAGGGTAAGGTGGGCAGAGGAGAGATCAAGCGAATGGAGAGATAAGAGAGAGAGAAGAAATGAGATGGAGGGGGAAGACAGGGAAAGAGAGGGGTAAAAATAGAGTCTACTGCAGTGATGTGACCAGCGGCATATCCCAGTCATCAGTCATGGCTGCCTCCTATTAGAATTGTCACTGGGATTTAATTAAGATTATTCTCATCTGACAGGCTTGGCTAGTGCCATTACTTACTTTACGCCCAGCTGCTGTGTGTGTGCGCGCGCGTGTGTGTGTGTGTGTGTGTGTGTGTGTGTGTGTGTGAGAGAGAGATAGAGAGTCAATGACGAGACTGGCAGTTGAAATCGCCACAAACTTCTTTACTTAATAGAAATGATAAGTTTCAACCGCCACCTTATCCAGTCACATTTTATTCTTTACTCTATTTATTTGTTGTAATTTAATAATATAATGGCGGGGGGGAGGGTTGTATTTTCTGATTAACTGTAATTAAATTAAAAGAGCTGGGTATGTTACTGCAACCCCCGGTCCATTTGTGGAATGGTAGGACGTTGGTAGATGAAAAGATGCTACACCCTCTGCTTCCAATCAGTCCTGATGTGGAGGGTCACAGCTAAAAGACAGTGTGATTAATGGACTGTGTACCACTGAACTTTACACAAGTTTCACATGAGTGGCCTGGCTTTTCTCAAAGTCATTATTAGGATGACCTCTGTCGTAAATCAATATTACGATTATTTCAAACTTTTACCTCTTATGATTAATGAATGATAACTTTGATGCTTATCAGTCTCTGTCTTTTTGAGCTACACACTTCATATTCTGCAATGTCATTGTGCTCCAATATGGTGGTGTTACCTTTGGTAGCTATCCATGATGCGCTCACCACTATCTGCTAGTCATGACTGATAAGACTCAATCAGGAGGCGAGGCGGTAGTCTGCGTCATCGTCTCCAAAACTCTCCGCTTCTGCCCGTCCAGACTACAATAAGTTTTCAAACTTAAACGGGGCCAGCAGTGTTTCCAAAAGTCTCCGCTTTAGGGGCTCGAAAACTCAACAGCAGTGTGGATGCCAGGTGTAAATCTAGCAGTGAGTGAGTGAATGAGTGAGTGAGTTAGTGAGTGAGTGAGTGAGTGAGTAAGTGTAGACTAAGCCTGAGGTTCAGTATTTGTGCTCGTGTCATCCCTATCACTAACTTCGCTTTGAGAGAAGAAGGACTAACGTTCGGTGGACGGGGAGAAGCACGTGACTGAAAACAAGGTGGTATTTTTTTTAAGGCGGCATTTCGTGAATGCATGCCAATCAGCATATTCCTAGTGGGGCTGTCAGTTCTCAAATGTACATGATGAAGGGCTGGGTTAACACTTTCCCATGCCACTGCAATCATAATTAATTGACTTCTGAGTCATACTGTATGTTACCAAGATTACTGTCTTAAAAACTACACAGTAATGCTTGTCCACAAGTGATTTTACTTTTACTACTTCAAATCGGGATGATAGGCATGTGAGTTTAACAGAAAGGTTTTTTAAAGGGTTTAGAAATTGCACAGTGATCTTTTAAGGCAGTCTACTCTGTGATAAAAACACTTGACTTTTACATCTGTAGCTGACTTCAGTTTGTCCAGATCAAGGTGGCTTCTTAGTGCTCACCTGTTTACACCAATTTCTTACAAACGAATAAAGAGGAATAAACATGAATTCATGTGAAATGACAGGTTGTTCATTTATTGAGCAGGTCAGCTGAATATAGTAAATCGTCATCACCAAGTCGACCCATGAGACTGACGGCTTCCACGTTTATTTATCTTCTCTAAAGGACACTAACAGCCCATGAAGAAAATGACTAATTTTGAACATTATTATCTGAGACTATAACAGGACCTAATATGTCAGAACTTCCTTTTCAGGTGGTCTCAAGGCCAGTTGTTTGGTCCACATCACAGTTCAGTTGAAAGCTTTCACACCAGCTCAGACAAACACCACCAGACTGTGTTTGAGCACCCTTATACTACTGCAACACACACCTGCATTTTGTACGGTTACATCTACTGCAAGTAGTTGAATCATTTCCATATTTACTCTTCAGCTTAAATAAATAGGCTGTCACAGTTTACAGAGCAACTCTGGTTCGGCTTTAACCTGCTGTACTTCTTATATTTGCTTATAAACCCGAGAAAAACCCACGCAGCAGTGTTACCAACATTTTGTGTGCACTTACTTTCATTTTTCCAAGTGAGTTGGTTTAGAAGCTGTGGTTAAACTGTTGTCTTGCCTGCAGCATGTCTGACCCTTCGACTGCTGATTGCCTTGTTTACTTTGTTAAGAACAAATAACCTTTAGAAAAAATGACCGAAACTACAAAAATAAGACACAACTGGTAATTGCTATCTTTAAAAACAAAAAAAACACAGTGTCCTTCCCTGATGTGTTCTCCCTCTTTTCTCTGCTGTCCAGACGCATCGATGATGACATGGGGCGAACGCATGAACTGGAGCACTCTGCCATCAAGTGCATGAGAGGGATCCTCTACTGCTACATGAGACAGGCTGATAAGGTGAGTTTATAGCCGGCCTCCAGTCAGCTCCTCAGCTTTTACACTGCATGTTTGCATAAAAGCGCCATGCAATTACACACTGTATTACAGATCAAAGGTGCATTCCTGAGCTGCTATTCATCAAAGCCTCTCAGAGCTGGAGCACTGGACACATCTGGTCCCTTCTTCATATCATAACAAATGACAATGGGAACCAGTTGCTTTAGTTCTAAGCGCTTAATAGCCAGCAATCTGTTAATTGCCAAAGACTTTTTGCTCCTAAGGGGGAAATTTCACGGCACGTCTAGAGGAAACCTGATGCACGTGCATGAGTAGGTTGCAAATGAAAAGTGGCAAAACACACCATTATACGTGCCCAAAGCGGAACCAAATATGTCCGCTGCACGCTGTTTTTTTTTATTCCGCATGAACAACATCTTTTAATACAGCAGCCAGCTGTGCCACTGTGTACGTGCATGTGTAGAGTGTGTGCCTTTGAAAGCCATTCTGTTTCATCTTGCTTCGACCTTGACGACCTAATTTAGGGGAGAGCTTTTCGGTGTCTTAATTACAAAGCTGCGTTTACACAGTTAATTACACAGAGCAGCGCTCATTACGGCCCCGTCTCCAACACTTACGGAGAACATGGCATTTTTAATGGAGACGTGACACGGGGCCACTGCTGGGCAAATATCACAGAGCAAATATAGCAGCTGGGCCCCACTGTCAACCTATAATATAGGGTATAAGGAACCAAGGAAATATCCTTCAGAATTATTTAATTTTAATAAGTGAAAATGTTTGCCTTTTAGTTTGAGAAAAAAATTGTATGTATATATATATATATATATATATATACTGTATATACAGAGAAGCTCCAGTATGCTCCGGTATGCAGTAAGCTCCAGTATTTCTCCTAGAAATGTAATTTCTATACTAAAATCAACTAAACTAACAATAAATATGTTTTGTACGAAATTTAAATGTGACCTGATTACATTTTCTGTTAGCATAATGAGGATATGTTGTTAATTTACGTCGTGTTGATACTGAGTAAAATCTTTACAGCTTAAACGTAATGTTTTTGTTTTCTGCCAAAATATCTGATATGGCAGTAGAATATCCACTAGTGTGACTGCAACATTATTAAACTGATGTTTAGGCTCTGACTGCACAGGTTAGGGAAAGGTCTGGTTTAATACAGAAAAAGTTCACAATGACCTCAGACACAAAGTGTTTATATACATTTAACCAAAACCACAATCTTTTCCTATCCTTAACCAAAGAGCTGTTGTTGCCCAAAACTAACAACAGACAGGATTCCAGATGCAAACCCCGGTCTCTGGTGACACTTTACATGTCTGCCATCCACCCCAGCCACCTGACCAACTAGCAGCAGCAGAGTCCTGTTAATAAATGGAGCTCTTCATTCATTCATAAAATATGTAATCTAGTCGGCAAATACGTTTCCTACAAAACTTGTTTGCTGGTGCAGTTTAGTTGTATAGAAAAGTTACTTCTAGGAGAAAAGGCTGCAGGCAGCCAGAAAGACTTTGACACTTCAGTCTTTGGTTTAAGTCTCGCATCCCACATGTTGTTAGCTTTAGCTACTAAAACACTTTGTCAAAGTTTCAGTGTGTGCTATCTCCTACTGACAAGTCAATGTTGATTTTACCTGACCTCATCCAGGTGACATTTCCAAAAAAATATGCTAATAATGAAAATATTTTACAGCCTCATTACTCAAAAGCTGATTGAAAAAAAATATTTTCAGCACCTTCAAAGTAAAATAAAGAGCCCAATGCATAAAGAAAGAAAATGCCTGTTGTTGTGAATATATATTTATTTGTCCTAATGACAAATACGAATGTCTCTTATAGAATAAAATGATGTTCCTTTTTGAGGTTGCTGCCTGCTTTCTGAACTACTGCTTTAAACTGGGCTCTGTCCAGTAATATCCTGGTAATTGGTTCAATGAGATACAGGAGTTTTGTGTCGGCTATAGAGGGAAAATGAATGCATGAGGGCGTACAATAACCTATTACTTTATGGAGCAGGGGGCGTTTTACTAATTTAAAGCTCAAATTGGCGCATTGCAGCACTTGAAACAATAAGCAAGATCTGGGGCCTCTCGGAATATCCTGAGTGTAGAGCCACTTGACACTGTGGCTCTGCTGGAGCCAGAATCAGAGGAACCTCTACACAAAAGTAGGTTTTATAGAAACATAAACAGCAGCACCTATTGTTAGCTGCTGACAGAGGTAGCTCTCCTCCTCTCTATCTCCCCCTCAGTCACTCACTCACACACACTCACACGTGCATATTAGCCGCTGTGGGATGGCAGGAAATGGAGCAGTTTCAGTAAAAGTGGGACAGAGGGTCTCCACTATGACCTGAGCAGGAGAGAGAGAGAGAGAGAGAGAGAGAGAGAGAGAGAAACAGAGAGAGAGAGGGACAAAAAGGTGGGTAGAGAGAGTGTGCCAGAAGAAAGAAGGAGAAGAAAAAGGGGGAAGTCTTAGAAAAGAGATCAAGACACAGGGAGCATGAGGGACAACAAAGAAAAAGGAGGGTGAATAATAGAAAGTACTGGGAGAGGAGAGGTAGAAGTGAGGAAAGAGGGGAAGGTGGGAGTTAAGAGAGAAAAATGAAGACAGCAGTTGGGGGGGCTCGATGATGGAGAGAGCACTGAGAGCAGGTGGGGAGAAGAGAAACAAACGAGGTAAAAATGGGACAAAGGGCCAATTATTTATAACTGCGCGACAGTGTTTTGCGCCCTAGCCGTGATTTGGTGTGTAGTCGAGTTGATGCAGCTAACGCACACAAAGCCACCATCAAACCGCTGAACACAAAACAACTACTAACATGTTGCTGTTTTTATGTGTTTCTTTGCCCCACATCTGACCCTTATCTGCTTCGGAGCAGACTGTGTTGCGTTGTTTATCTGCCTGGGTTGTTGCGCAGAGGACTGACCTGTTGTCGACTGTTGCTGTTTATTCCATGTGAGAAACAACATATAGTGTGCAGTGTGTGTCACTGGCTTGGATGGACTCATGCATCCTTAATGTCTATACTGTCCTCCTAATGAGTAGTCCTTATTCAAAGCTACACAGACAGTTAGTTAACAGTTAAGTAAACCGTGTAAAGTCATCCAGTGAACACCATGCTTAACTTTTCTTCAATATTTAATGAAGAGCCACAATTTACTGTAGAACTGCAACAAGCACAAAATGAAAACACAATTCAGAATCTGATTTAACTATCATTAACATAACTATGTAAAAAAATAAAAACAATGCTTAACAGAGCAAGACAAGTTACTGACAGCTATGCAAATCTTTCCTTTCATGGGAAGCACTTGTTCTATAAGTGGACCTAATGCTGATGTTTTGCTCTGCAATTATATTATATATAAGTTTGGCTGAAGCTGAAGCAGTGAAAGTAGCTGAAGTTTCTCTTCAAATAGAAACAGAAAAAAATTTGAGTCGGGGATGAGATTTAAGCGCCGAAAGAAGTTGAAGTAAAGTGATGAAAGGAGTTGTGGAGTGGAGTGGGGGAGGAGGAGGTGCCTCAGTATCACTGCACAGCCATTGAAGCATGACAGATTTACAGCAGAGATTATGATGCTTCATTACCATGCATTAACTAAATACACAACCTTTTCCGACTATGTTTTTTTTTAATGTGTTCTACTGTGGCATGCAGTGTCTTTGGTGAGGGAATGAATTGACGGTAAATGTCCTCTGCCTCTTCCTCTCTTTCTCTGCTCACTGCCTATACCTGACCCCTCTCTTTCATCCTTTCCTCTTTGTCTATGTGTATCTCTGTACTAGGTGGAGCAGTTTAAACAGGATCCCAGCCCTTCCAAGTGTCTGCACTCAGTGTTCAATGTAGACACCGGTGACGAGGTTTACACCTACGGCGACTACCACCACCTGCAGGTCGGCCAGAGAGCAGAGACATGAAGAATGATGAAATATTAAAATTAAAATCACTTTTCACATACATGCATATACACAATATGCACATGTCTCATTTCTTCTTCCCTCTTCTTGGCATGCATGTACAGGTTAAAAATGGACTTGTCCTCAGGGGTAGATGTGCATTATATTTGACACTAAACAAGCTATTATTCTGTCAATGGTATGGATAGAGGTCAATGTGGTGTGTAATGTGTGGATTGAGACTCCATATAAAGTGAAGGGTGGCCAATACATCAAAGGAGGGAGATAGAAAATCAAAATCAAACCACAAGGTAACTTGCCTGTGAAAAACTAAAAAATCCTCAAAGCACTTACTGTTTATCCATTTATTTCTTGGCCGTTATTTCTTCTCCATCAACTTTACCATGAAATAAAATGCATTATTGATGACAGCAGTTCAGTGCCAAATACCTAACAGCTAATATAAAACCTGTAGGAAATCAAAGACAGCTGTATTGACAAATATCACACAGTGTGCAAATGATAGTCATTTTCTTAATTGTATCTCGTCCACTCTCCTCTTCCCTCTGTCGCTGCTGCAGATCGATGCTGTTTCTCTGTTTCTGCTGTACCTGGTGGAGATGATCTGCTCTGGTCTGCAGATCATTTACAACACTGATGAGGTAAACAACACACTAAAATGACTGCCAAGGTGATCAATTCTGTGCACTAGGGATTTACAACCTGTCCTGTTTATTGGTCTGGTATTTTCTGACCAATTCACAAGCAGCAATCAGCCTCCATCTTAGCACAAATACATTTCCTAATGTAGAATATTGCCTCCTGTTCAGAATGCTGGTTTTCCCTCACTGTCAATATTACTATATACGTATGTTTTACTGTATATCTTTCAGAATGAGATAAACTCCTGTAAAATAACCCCTGACATTATTTTTGAGTACTTTGAGGTCACTTAGTGTTTTCAATTTCAGTCACGCTAGTGGCATGGCTGTAGGAATAGCAGTGTCTGTCTGTCAACCACTTGGGCCTAGACTGAGATATCTCAACTATCGTATGGAATATTGTCTAGGTGGGGTGTATTGTAAATGGTAAATGGACTACACACACACTGCTTTTCTAGTCTTCTCAAAGTGCTTTACAATACTTTCCACGTTCACACATTCATTCACACATACAGTACATACAGCCGTCAGTGGCAGTTTGGGTTTCAGTATCTTGCCCAAGGACACTTCGACACGTGGACTGGAGGAGCTGGGTATCAAACTACTGACTTCTGATTGGTAGACGACCCGCTCTACCTCCTGCCCCGTGAGTCAGTTTTTGAATCATACTGACTTAGGTAATCCATGACTTTTCATTTAGTGCCACCAGCAGGTCAAAATTTTAATTTGTCACCATGTATCACTGTTAAACTCTTTTTCTTTGTTCTAAGACAAATTGAGGTCCTAATGAAATACACAGATATGAAATTATGTGATGCTACCTTCTGAGGATCCAACTCCGTGCTATAAAGTGAGACCCAGGGGTTTCTAAAGCCAGTTAGACGTGCCCTAAATCCCCCACAGATATCTGAGAGCCGACACAAATGCAAGATCAGGGGACAGTATCTCACTTTTATGGCCCAGCTCACATTTATATTTTTGCTAAGACGCTCCATTGACTTTCAACAGGGACACGTTTAGACGATTTCATTGTGGAGCTTAAATGTCCTCCTGGGAATCGAACCGATAACGTCTTATTTGGCAGCACGCCAACTTATTCAGACTATTACTGAGGAGCTTCTTTGAGTGGAGTTTTAATGTATCTGTCTGCTGTCAGTTGTTGTCTTCTTTATGTTTGGCTCTTAATAAAACAACAAGGAGACGTGGCTGTTAAGTTTACAAACTGTGCTGTTTATTGTGTGGCCTTCAGGAGCAGTTGGAACCTCATTAATTCTGTTAGTTTTTACAGTCTCGCTCATTCACAGCTTTACTTACAGCCATAGAGTGGTGAAATTTGTTCTGTAAAGGAATCCAATTTTTTTTTTTTTACTAGATTGCTCTTATTTGAAAAAAGTAAGGACATGGCCAACATGGCACTCACCAATTCGTGTGTACAGTTTTCACTTTGCTTACTGAGCCACCCTCCAAATAACCTCTCATTTTTCTCCATTTCTCACTCCTGATTGCAAAGAAACTGACAATGATACTTTTTTTATGAGGGCAGCCCTGTTTGTGCAGCAGCCTTAATTTGCATGTTTAAACAGTGCTTATTAGGTTGTGTAATTCAAACTGAAGAGGTCTGCCACCCCCCCGATCCCCCCCACCCCCCAACCATTCCCCATCCCCATCCCTGTATTAACAAACATCACATTCACTGAGCAAAAGGACTTGTGATTTGTGTTCTCAGCTGAACGCTGTTTGAAATGCTTTTCATTTGGACTAATCACATTATTACAGCAGCATTTATTAGTTTGTTGTTCGCTGCCACTGCTTGTGAAGTCCATTGGCGTTTACTTGACTGAGCTGGAAGCTGCATTGCAGTATTTTTTTTTTTCTTTCCATGAGGTGGTATAGAAAAGCTGCTGCATGTCCTCTGAGAAGATGCACTATCGACCTCCTTCCAGATGCCATTTTCAGTTTCATGCAGCATGAAATGGAGCATCTCATTAGCTTGTGTGTATCTCAGTCTGTTTTTTTTTTTTTTTTTTTTTTTTTCACGTTATACAGGAGTATGCATTTTTTCACAGTCAGAGTGCAGCTGGCACACAAATGTAAAAGCAAAAAAAAATGTTGTATGCTTCTGCAAATGTGCTCATGTGTGCAAACCTCGTCCAAAAAAAGCAAGTAGTGGCAGGGACGGTCGTCTAGCAGCAGGGAGACGGAGAGGCTCGTTTGGCCGGTGGGCAGTAACATTCATTAATATACCATTAAGATACTAAAAAGTTCCCCTCGTTAATCACTCCACTCATAAAACCCCAAATAAGAGAGAAAGCAAACACCTTTCTCTCTCTTTCCCTGCCCTCCTTCACAGACTGGCCTATTTAAGTCCTTACACAGGTTCCTATCTGCTTCTCTCCATCTCTCTCTTTCCCTCTCTCTCATCTCTCTCTTTCTCTCTCCCCTGCTTTGTCATTTTAGATTAAATCTCCCATCAGTCAAGAACACACACACATGCACTGCTACTTTCAAGTCTTTTTAATGATTCAAGGCCTTTAAGTCATCACACATTTTATGTCTCTCCCTTTTAGTTTTTTCTTGATGTGCCTATTGATTTTGACATGTCTCTCGCAGAGTTTTTCGGCACAGTACGGTGCGGGTTAGATGATAGATATGAGAAACTCCCTAACTCTGCTAATCACGACTTAAAAATTATGAGGTCACTGTTTTTTTTTTTTTTTGGGTGATTAAATGAAGGACCCTGCTGATGAGTTCTTGGAGTCTGTATTGAAAGGGGTGATATACTGAAAATGAAAATGCTGCTATAAATGGAAGTTTTGATATGCTTCCATTCAGTCTAAGTGACATGGCTGTGATACTATAGCTTCACATATTGCCACACTTTACTACTTAACTACACCTTGTCTGTGCATGCAGGGGTTTGACCTTGAGCACTGATGAGGGATCAGCTTTCTTGTCCACTTTACTAACCTTTGTAATGAGAGCGAGAGTTACACACATGAACCCAGATCAATAATAAAGGTCATCCATTACTGTACACGCATGTGCAGTATGTGTGTGAGAGACTGTGAGTGTATTTGAAGCTGCAGCTTAAATTATGTACTGTGTGACTGTGATTGTGTGTGTCAGTACGGAAACATGTTTGTTGCCTGCAACCCTGGATCTATGAGTACCTTTGTACCTTTGCGTGTCTGCATGTGTGTGTATCTACTTCGTTTGTATTGCACCTATTCCCAGTGGCCACGGCTTCTTGTGTTTGATGTGTGTTTTCTGTTTGCAGGTTTCCTTCATACAGAACCTGGTGTTCTGTGTGGAGAGAGCCTACAGGGTGCCTGACTATGGCATGTGGGAGCGCGGCAGCAAATACAACAACGGCAGCACTGAGCTGCATTCCAGGTCAGTCGATAGCTGCACAGCAACACACAACAAAATGTGCTAAAATAAATGTACATATTCTAATGAGTCTGACATTTACTGCCAAATGCTGATATCCAGTCTCCCCGAAGGAACACTTATTTCCCCTGTTAATCACAAAGATGGAGATGGTGCATCTATAACATCCATAACACTTTACCAATGTTCTCTGTAATCACTGTTGCCAGCTGTATCAGCGTAGTTTACCACTCACCAATCTTTACCGATGCCTATAAATACATACACGGAGAGTTTGACTGAAATGAGATTTATTTTCTCATAGGTGCCGCTGGGAAACACGCTGTAAAAAATAAATAAAAAAATGATGCGCAGGATATTTACTCAGAGCTTTATAGATTACACTGTCACAAGTCACCCTTATGCTGTAAATTTCGCTGGTGTGTGTTAGCCTTTCATGGATCCTGTTGCTCATGCCAGTGTAGAGTGTGGGTGTGTGGGTGTGTGATAACAGGGGAGTTTAAACTTTTTTCTCAAAACTGAACTGAAGCAAACGATCAGGGCAAAGGCAACGAGAGAGGAGTCGATTGCCAAATGTCTCTGACCTTACACAGAAAATGTGAATGTGTAGTGATGTAATAATATAATAGTCAGTTCAACTAGAAATGGACATCAGGGAGAGATGGATGGAAGAGAGATGAATAAAGAGGAGGTTACAGAAGGTATGAAGGACCCAGGGATGGAGGCAGTGATAGCATTATTACAGCGCATTCAGAAGTGTTCAGATCCCTTCACTTTTTACATTTTCCTATGTCGCAGCCTTGTGCTAAAATCGTTTTAATCGTTTTTTTTTTCTGTCATATATCTATGCTCAGTTTTGGCAAATTTATTAAAAAGGAGAAACTGAACTATCACATTGACATAAGTATTCAGAGCCTTTACTCGGTACTTAGTTGAAGCACCTTTGGCAGTGATTGCAGCCTCGAGTCTTCTTGGGTATGATGCAATAAGCTTTGAACACCTGGATTTGGGGATTTTCTGCGTTCTTCTCTGCAGATCCTCTCAAGCTCTGTCAGGTTGTATGGGAACTGTTGGCAGCTAATTTCAGGTCTCTCCAGTGATGTTCGACTGGGTTCAAGTCAGGGCTCTGGCCAGGCCAGGCCCTAAGCCACTCCTGCAATGTCTGGGCTGTGTGCTTAGGGTCATTGTCCTGTTGGAAGGTAAACCTTAGGTCCAGTCTGAGGTCCTGAGCGCTCTGGACCAAGTTTTTACTAGAAATATCTCTGTACTTTGCTCCGTTCAACCCTCCCTCAACCCTGACCAGTCTCCCTGTCCCTGGCACTGAAAAACACCCCCACAGTATGATGCTGCCACCACCATGTTTCACTGTTGGGATGGTATTGGGCAGATAATGTGACGCCTGGTTTCCTCCAGACATGACGCTTAGAATTGAAGCCAAACAGTTCAATTTTGGTTTCATCAGATCTTGTTTCTCACAGTCTGTGAGTCCTTAAGGGGCTTTTTTTTTTTTTTTTGCTAAACTCCAAGCAGCTTTCATATGTCTTTCAGTGAGGAGAGGCCATCCTGTTATGAAGCCCAGATCAGTGGAGGGCTGCAGTTATGGTTGTCCTTTTGTGAACAATCAGGTTCTTGGTCGTCACCTCTTTTACAAAGGCCCTTCTCCCTCAGTCGCTCAGTTTGGCTGGGCAGCTCTAGAAATACTCCTGCTTATTCTATACCTCTTCCATTTAAGAATTATAGAGGCCACTGTGTTTAGGAACCTTCAGTGCAGCAGAAATGTTTTTGTATCCTTCCCATGATCTGTGCCTCGACACAATCCTGTATCTGAGCTCTGCAGGCAGTTGCTTCCGCCTCATGGCTTGGTTTTAGCTGATATGCATTGTCAGCTGTGAGACCTTATATAGACAGGTATGAGCCTTTCTAAATCATGTCCAGTCAGTTGAATTTACCACAGGTGGTCAGGTGTAGAAACATCTCAGAGATGAGCAAGAGAAATGAAGGCACCCGAGTTAAGTGTCATAGCAAAAGGTCTGTGTGGCAAAGACCAACAAACTCTGCTTTCAGTTTGATGTAAACTATACACATGGAGAGTTTCATGACTGTATCTTGCGCAGTTGTGAGGCTCAGAGCCTCCTCTCTTCTGATTGGCTCACCAACCTGTTGTTACTAGAGCTCCAGAGAGAAGCCTGAGAGAGGAGATGTAAAACTATATTGAGACGGTTTTTGATTCTTAAAACCACAAGTATATCTTCTTATGGATAATAAAACTTGTAGAAATAAAATGTATAAGATATGGGACCTTGGGACCATAGACAAGCATAGTTGATTTATTGTGTATTTCTTTGTTCAGGATATGTTTTTTTTTTTTTTTTTTGGTCTGACTTGTTTTGTTTCCTACATTAATTAAACTCTTCTTTCTCATTATGTACATCCTGCTGTTGGTTTTCAAAGACTTACAAAGAAAACATCTTTAATATAGTTGCACCTTTCTAACATTGTATCTCATCGGTGTTAGTTTAAAAAACTGTAAATGCTGCCTCTTATCTTTCATCTTGCTCCTTCTTGGAAGGGTGAAATTAAAAACAGTGAGGAAAAAATAATATCTCAAACCAAACTTCATCTGATAAAGTGTTTTTCTTATAATCTCTGTCAGTGAGGAAATAGCTTGTATTGAGTTAAAATGTAATGGATCAAGAGTGTGAACTGTTAACTGCTATAACAAGACGGATTTTGGGCCAAATGTTAGAATCAGTACTATCCGTATCCAGTGAACTCAGAGTGCAGTGAGTTTTTGTTATGTGCTCTCAACTGATTTATCATCCAAGGTCGGCCCGGCCTCGCTCTCCTCCCACAGAGTCTTGATAAAGATCCTCAAGTTCTACCATTGCTTATCTGTGGGAAGAATGTTTTTCCTTTCTCCAACAATCCAAGGCTTTTGGCAACACCTTGCCAAAATATCCTCAAGAAAAGATAACAAATTCAGTGTTGTGAGGAAGCACTGTGTCTTCTGCTTCTTGTATTTCCTCCCCCCGTGGTCATGCTCCGGATTTCCACAATTAGTGAGCTAGCTTATACATGTAGTTGCGTAATACCAATTAAAATGCTGTATGCAAATAGTGAACTGTGGCAGGGACAGATTCAGAATGGTTCCATGTAAACAAGATCTGTGTAAATGATCAAATTGAGCAGTCATTTCTACTCCCAGAGTGCCAGTGGGCAGAAAAAGGCTCAGTGGAAATGAACAGGAAAGGATGTGTTCATTTTGGCAGAGCAGTCATTTGTCCATATCAAATCAAATGATTCATTTTATTTGCTTCTGCCTCATGTTTATCACCACACTCAGCCAAATGGCTAGACTGGAGCTGTTTTATTTAAAGTAGCATATCTAATCTCATGAGCGTCAGGGTATACTGAAATATCTCAAGTTGTAATGAGATACATGCTATTTGATTACAGATTTAAAAACAGGACTGTGCGTGCACAAGTGTTCATGAATATTTCATTATAGAAGTTTTTTTTTTTTTTTATATCACAACAGTACTTGTGTGAATGTGATGTAAGATGCGATGTTATTATAATTATTATAATGTTACCATCCCTGCTATGTTGACTGCATATCATATCCAGATTACACTGGTTCAAATGGTTTTTGTTAATTTGATTACTAATTGATGAATCTCAATAATGACTTAGCTATTCATTTGTAAGATTTGGACAAAAGTACAGTTTGAATTACACCTTGTCAGAATCTAGTTTTAATACAGTGAAGCTGCTCTAAACAATATTGATGTTAACAACGGCCCTGTTCAGACCTGGTATTAACATCCCTCTCAGGTGATCCGATCACTAGTATACAGCTCTAAGTTCAGGTGTGAACGCACCCAAGACACTGAGGACACATTTGAGATCCAATCACTCAGACCACATTCAGAGGTGGTCTGAGTCACATGTGTCCACATTCTTTTAGCAGTGTGTCCTGGGCCACACTGAAGGACTACCTACTCTACTGACATATTCTGCCACAGTCTGATTAGTCCCACCACAGTTTAACAATGAACCCAAAATATTTTACTCTTTCAAATGGATAAAACCTTAATTTATTGTAGAGCTGTGAGCAGCGCGTGGATTCGCTCAACCCCTCCATGCCTCTCTCCCATCCTCTCTCCCATCCTCTCTCTCGCTCTCTCACTCACTCACTCACACACACACACACACACACACACACACACATATACGAGCACATTGTCGACGGACCCGTCTGTCAGATTGGCTAAAAACAACAACGCATACGTGTTTATTTGCATCTATAGTGGGAAAGTGAGATCCGATCACAAGCGATCACTTGAGACCCATGTGGAGACGCATTTTAAAGCCAGGTCTGAGCTGACTACTGACTGGCTACTTGTGATACATGTCAGGTTTGAACATGGCCTATGTGTATTGTGAAATAGGTCTTTCATAGTGACAAACCCAAATAGCTGTCACCCAACTGCAGTTCTCCTCAGCTTTAAAAAACATTTTATCATCTTTGAGCTCATTGTTTTGATTTTACAGCCCACATCTTTATTCTATACCACTCTCCTCAACCTCATAAACCCACTGTTCACCACCTGCCCAGCACCAAACAACCGACACTGAATTAGTAAGCAGTTGGTAAAAACAGTAGAGCATATTAGTATTAGAGTTAATATCGGACTCACATTTTAAATTTTTTTGGCCACTTGGGAGCAGTGGAAGCAAGTTATGAACACAAAATTGACATATATTCACCTTTTTAGTTGATATGCTGAGTATGTAAACATTTACTTATTTACACATTCATTCAGAGTCTTGTTTTAATGAATGCAGGGCCAGTACACTCTCTCTTAGCTCTGATTTTACTAACTTCTGTGGGAAATATCTGGCCCTTTAGCTGCTAAATGCTCCACACACTAACTTGTGTACATTAGAGTTTTCAGAGCTATTTCACTGACAGCAGTTGCCTGCTACAGCAGAAATTTACGCAATGAGAGCTGCAATCAAGGAAACAAGAAAAACGGCGATTGAGGAAGGACGACACATGGCGGCTAAATTTCCATGTGGTATGTTATAGGGTGTACACACAGGAAAGTAAAACGTTCATTTTCAAATCAAGGGAGCAAAGCAGCCGGCAGGTGGGCGACAATCGATGAAGTTTGTACAGCCGAAGGGAGCTGCAGTTTCACATGAAGATTAGGTATGTTATTCACCTCCAGAGTCAGAGTTCATACACAATGCACCAAGGACAAGACGTTGTGTGGGGTTTGCCAGTAGGGGCCCAACACAGGTGTATGAAATATGAAGAAGCAGCTATTTACCCAGTAGGACCTCAACTGGTATATGAACTGCAGTATTGTATGTAAACACATTTACCAGTATATTGTTTAGCAGCCTACAGGTATGAGCTCATTGACTAACACTCTGCAGCAACATTTTCATCATGTGAATCGTTGTCTCCAACTGTCAGCTGAAACTGCTGCATCACGATGCTGTTTTGTTCCTGTTTTCTAGTATCACTTATTATGACTTCCGTTTCACCACCCACCCACCAAGCATCGTATCTCCCTTCTATCTCTGTGTGAGGCGCTGACAGCCTTTGCCGACCGCTACCGGCCATTTTCATGTGTGTGTGTTTGTGTGTGTGTGTGTGAGTGTGTCTTTATAGAGAGCTAGTTTCAGCAGAGCTGTTTTCCAGGCTGAATTAGTCAGCCATCCTCTGTACTTTAAGCATCAATTTGGGTTTCACTAATGATACTGAACGCATTTTGATATGTCAGCGGATCTACTGCCAGTCATCACCGAGTTCCCTGCAATTTTTATATATTTTTTTTTTGCCTCCCTGCCTTTCTTTTTCTAGGGAAATCTTGGCAGGGTAGAAAGGGAAACAAAATGACAGCGAAATTGATTCACATTTAGTCTGCATTGCAATCACAGTAGCCAGCCAGTGTGAAATTCAGTATAGGTTTTTTTTTTTTTTTAAGAGATCCATTATCTACAGTAGACCACAATCTCAGGAGCCTTCAGCTTGATTGAATTCTGACAGATAGCCATTTAAGATTCAAGTGTGATTCTGAGTGCTTTTTTTAGTTTTTTGGCTTCTGACAATTGAAAGACACTCAGCTACGGTTCGAATCGCTGCCTCCATCACAACACCACATTTGTTGTCACTCTTATGAAATACAAGATTTTTTTTTTTTACATCATTGCACCATTGTGCATCAATGAAAGTGAAATCTGCTTAGTGTGTGTTATGTAATTTTTCTTATCTCTGCAGCTCTGTGGGCCTGGCTAAAGCTGCTTTGGAGGCCATCAACGGATTCAACCTGTTTGGAAACCAGGTATTTGAATAATTCACTCACTCCTTTCACATTTTCCCCTTCCTCAGTCATACGAGTCCCATAACACACTTGTATTTGTCCCTTGTTTAATCGTGTCACATGACGCAAGATCATATTATAGGTAAACGGTCTAATTTCTTATTCAAATCTGCAGAAGCCCATTACAGCTCCATACATCAACGAGATATGTTTCATGTGTGTGGCGCATGAGCCCTCGGTAGCTAAATTTATGGGATTGCATGTCTGTTTTAACAAGCAGACATCATCAGCACAGTTAGTGCTGCTGTCATCGATGCAAGGCTGTTTGTCCACGAGGACATTTGACCATCAGCAGATTCATTTAGGTTGTTTGTGTTTGGCTCAGCAAATCGTTTGTGTTTCTGCAGACTTTGATCGATGGCCACGGTTGATGTTTGTTCCCGGTTTCCCTCCGAATGTCCCAGTCTGCTTTTTATCCATTAGTTGATATGTGTCTTTTTTTCTTGCTTCTGTGGATGAGAGGAAAAAACAGGGACATTCATTACACCTGCTAATGGATTGGAAAATGAAGCCTTCCAAGCCTCCTCTCTTATTATCTTTTTCCTCCTCTTTTCTCCACTTGGGTGTTAGCCAGTGATGGCTCCTCCAGCCATCTAATGCATCCGAACTTGGAGTGTTACTCTGATCATCGTATGAGGCTGTGAGGATGAGTGTATGTTAAAGTTGCTGTTTGTGTCTCTCCTCTGATCGGCTGAAAAATGTGGGATTTAACTGGGCCTGGGATAGATTTTGTCTACGAGCTCAGCTTGTTGAAAGAATAAATGTATAAGCCTATAGGTGGCTGCTTTATGATCCATGCTGTGTGAGGCTGCTGTAAGTGTGAGTGTGTATGTCTCATCCAGTTTCCTGTCCCTCTGTGGGAATGGAAGTGCAAGCCATTCAGTTGCTTGTAAATGATCTCTATCAATCTTGATTTCCCAGCTGACTCTCATCCTTCCAACACCAAATATAACCCCCCCCCCACCCAACCCCTTTAACTGGAACACTCACTACATTCTGAACTCTGCAGTCACATTTTACACTGGCTGCAGACTCTCGTGGGTGTGTGTCACATTTAGCCTTTGTCCTAGATGAATGGTACACGCAGCCTTCGGTTTGGTGAAGTTTTGATTTTTCCATGATCCCCCCCAAGTCACACAACGGATGCAAAGATAGCAGCTTTGCGGTGTGACAAATTGAACTGGGTGGATAAAATTGATCCGGCCAAGAGGAGGATCCTTCAACTTTAAAGCCAGTCATTAAACTCAGAGAGCTGTGTACACAGGGCTGGACAATCAAATCCTAACCGATTCCACTTTCTATCTGGGGATTGTCACCTAATTCACACCCAGTCAAGAGCAGGGATGTAGTAGAGCGGACATAACCCTAACTCAATCCAGCTATATATATATATATAGATGTTTTTTTTTCAGAATAGAGATTACTTTTCTTTTGAATTCATGACTCTTTGAATTTCATTCATGCGTATCATTACATAGAAACTGGTGTCAAGTTGATGTTCTATGTATCATTATAGGGTCTTTGAAAGGAGTATTATACAATTTACACTCTTTCAGCCTTTATTAGGAGGCCAGAATAATAGCAGTGACACTGATGGCTTTCTGGCATAGATTAGGGTGGCCTGTAATTGACTCATTTCATAGAGTCACATTTTCATAATAGAGGGCCAAGGCTAAGTCCCTAGAGTAGGTGGAAGGGGTAAATGGGGCAAAAAGGAGAAGCAGGGAAAGAGAAGTAGAATGCATACTTAAAAATATTTCTGACTTCTGTTTTATTTTGGAAGTTGTTTGCTTTAGTTATCAGAGACCGCAGGTCATATTATTGTAATCCTATGACAATTACATTTAATCCTTTCATGCTTTTCTCTACCAATCGGTTGAGACATTTTGAGTTTTGATGTCTTGCATCTTTCTTAGCATCTCTTCTACGATGTTTCAAGTATTTGTCCCCAGAGTGCACTTCAGTTTTCTGATTCTTTTCAGGTGGCTTCCTTCCAGGCACGACTCTTGGTCTGCGGCCTGTGGAGTTTTCAAAAGCAATCTGAATCTTTTTTTTATGTTTTTTAGTCTCAGAAGCCTCACTGAACAGAATATAAATGCCTATAAGACAAAATGTTTTACAAACATGCTCAATCAGTCAGACTCATTTAAGCACAACTACAGCTGTGAGCACCACTGTGGTGGGAGAGGTTGTTTCCAGATTGAAGTGAAGCAGAAACTCAGTTTTCTCGTGCGAAAACATTGACGAAAACCACAAGAGGAGAATTAATCTAGATCTAGAACTACAAAGACTTTACCACAGATTATACTGTATATGTGTTTGATACTTTTTTATATCCATTTTTTATTTGTGTTATTAATTGATTGTGATCAATTTCATGCCACATTCCATTAAAATGCCTCATTATTTTACATCAATGGGAGCAGATCAAATTGCACTTTTACCATAAATGAACAGCTTAACCATTTGTCAGAGGTTCATGTGTGTGTACTTGCTAATTATAAATTTTTAATTTCATTAAAAATAAACTTTTAGCCCACTTAATGAAACTACAGTCTAAAGAGCACAGATCCAAGGCAGCACCGCTCTGCAGATATAACACCAGGAGAGGTTTCCCTGAGAGGGTCATTTCACTGACATGTCACACAGCTGCCTACATTGGTGGCCAGTAATCCACTGCACTATGCAAATTGCCACCAGAAAGATTGCTGATTTGACTAAAAGCCCTGGCTGGACCGGTTTTTGGAGGAAAAAATAGACTCGGGCAATATTCATACATAATGCATCTGACTTACATTAGAAACTGCTTAGCAGGTTGCAGGAGTGACTCAGTTGGTTTTATGTAAGCACTGCCGACGGATGAAGTGGACTGGACCTGCTTTTTAGAACCAGAAAAGGTTTGGTCACTGGCTTTACTAAGTAAAAACATAAACTGCCCCTCTTTCTCTCCCAGAGGTGTTTAAGTGCACTGGACAGACAGGCTGCATTGTAGTAGCAGCGCTTTGTTTTTGCACATAGGGACTTTTCAAATGATAGAATGACTCTTAACTCACTCCTGTTCAAGCCCTCCCACTCTGTGCTTCAAAAACATATGCAACCCAAAAATATCAGCCTGGTTTTACAGTGAAAGTGTGTTTTGATGTGCGGAGGTGTGATGGTGGGGGCTTTAAAGTGGGCTTTAAGCCATTTTACTGTCTGTTTTCTCTGATAAATGTAGGAGTACTTGTATTGCAGCATTGTGCATTTTTGTGGGTGTGCACATATTGTTGTTGTACCTGTGAACGGTGAAGAGTTCAGCTGTGTCTGGGATGATGTCTCTGTATCTGCTTTGCTCTGCAGGGATGTTCATGGTCGGTGATATTTGTGGATCTGGATGCCCACAACAGGAACAGACAAACCCTCTGCTCCCTGCTGCCCCGAGAGTCTCGCTCCCATGTGAGTCCATCCATCTATCTGTACGCTTACTAAAATTACCCTATGAATGACAGACCCTCTAAAAATATTTCTAGCCACACTAGTGGCAATGATTGGTTGAACAAATCTGTACTAATGTAAAATCTACAGCAGTGATTTTCAAAATGGGGTCTTTGAGGTGGTTCTTGAGAGTCCCTGCAAGAAGGAGAATAATTTATTTTCACTGTAATTCCACCCATAAGTAACTAAATGGCAGAATGTATGACTATTTTGGTCATGGGTTTCAAACACTTTCTGTTATAAAGATCTAAATGCAAAAGTCATATCAGATGGGGGACCTTGGGACAAAATCTTATCAAGTGGGGGTCCGGTGTCTAATTTGTGTCAGTGAAGGGGTCCTTGATGTGAAAAAGTTTGAGAGCCATTGATCTACAGGAGATGAATTTACAAGCTGAGTAAAAACAAATGCATTCTTACATCTTTTTTTAGCCATGCTACTGCAGTGGCCTTAGGGATGACAGTGTCAATTGGTCCATCACTTTGGTCAAGACTAAAATATCTCAACATCTATTGCCATAACATTTTTCATAACATTTATGGTCACCACTCTTCTGACTTTTCCTGTAGCATCACCAACAGAGATTTTTATGTTTTATTAAATAGATACATTTTTTTCAGGCATTCATAGTTCCCAGAGGATGAATCCTACAGACTCTGTTGATCCTCTGACTCTTTATCTACTGCCAACATTTGTGGTTTTAAGGGAAATCTCAACAGCTGTTGGATAGATTGTCATGATATTATGTACAGACAGTCTTTTCCTCTGAGGATGAATTGTAACAACTTCGGTGATTCCTCTAAAGACATCATCAGATTAAAAAAGATCTAATACCTGCTAAACTAATGATATCCCCATTAGCCTCCGGTGTACTTCGTGTTTAATGCTAATTTGAAAATGTTAGCAAGCTGTCATATTTCTCTAAGATGATGGACATGGTGAATATTATACCTGCTAAACATCAGGTATTCAGCATTGTTATTGTGCACATGTTAGCAAGCTGAACTTAACATTTTAAGTCGAACTAACTAACTACTAGCATGAATGTAGCTTCTTTGTCTTGTTTTAAAATGTGAAAATCTTTCTTTTTCCATTTTATTTTACTTCTACTTGTAAAAAAAAATCAGTATTAAATGCAGTCAGTCATTTATTATATCAGAGTAGAAGAAAGTTTTAAAAATTACATTAAAATATTTCTTAATTTTAGTCTCAGAGCTGATAAGCTGATCTCTGGTTGATTGTAGAAAAATGTCCTCCATTGCACATGTTGTTGCAACCTGCTCCCTTTCTTTTTTTTCTCCTTTTTTTTTTGACTCTGATGAGCACCTGTGTCCATAATCTCTCCCAATCAAAGACTGAAATAGAAGCCTGCCACAAATATGCCAAAGTCTTAAAAGGTTAATTGCACTCATCAAACAAACCCAGCACTTAACGTCAATATGGGAGTGAATATCTGTACTTCAACAATGCATTTCCCTCACGGCGTAGTCATTACACTGCCCATACCTGTGCTATTGTTGGCTCAGCGTTGAGAGGAAGCGGGAAAAGTGAGAGGTGGCTGCAGAGCTAGAGGGAGGTAAAGCTGAAAAAGGCAGGGGTGAGAAAAAGTAGTGGAATGAAGAGAGCAAAAATCATTCCCTTCACTCCACCGCTTGCAAACACTTAAATGATCACATCTCGCTCCCTCTCACTCTCTGTGTGCTGAATGTTTCAGGCAGAATAGCCGCCATCAGCGTGTGGGGAAATGGGTCCAATTAGATGACCAGAGTGGCATTATAGCCGTAGAGATTGACGTTAAAAAGCTGGAAGGAATGAGTGCAGTAATGAGTGAGAGACCAACACACTGCAGGATGATGTGAAGATAACCAAATTATCAATCCAATATCTGTGGCTCTTAAGCTCTGCCAAAAGATTGGAACACAACATTCATTTCTGGACCAATTCAGTACCTGCACCGAATGTGTTCTGCAAGCTGATATCCTTTCCCAGCCGCAGCTGCCGAGGGTGTTAACACGTAGATTGGGGTTGTAACAAGAAGTGGAAGAATAAGGATCAGAGTGGGCAGCAGCAGTCGGCTCTTCTGTTAACTTTAGAGATCTGTGCAAATAAGAAAAAAAAAAGATCATAGTACAGCACATGACAGTGGCATCAAACATTTAAGCTGAAATCTGGTCCTTTAGCTGCCTCATGACTGTCCATGTCAAAAAAGCAGCACCTAAACAGCAGAGCCCACACAGACTATGGATAGCAACTCTTTTATTATTGGAAGCTCTGCTGTCTATTAATAAACCATAAATAGCTGTTTGCAGTGAAGCTGGGGCTTAATAGCTTTCATTTCCATTGCTTAATAGAGTAAAACAAACAAAAATGAGAGTATTAGATGCCCGGTCATAATGGTGTGTCAGGCCTAATCAGAATATTCATTCCTAATGATTGCTCCAACTGAAATTTGATCACAGTCCTTGATTTTAAATAAGGCAGCTGTAGTGCCAGAAGCTTTCACTCTTAAGCTACAAGCCGACGTCTATACTTGTCTAGTATATGATCCTGTAGAACATAAAGATCTATCTGCTAGATTAGCATAGCTCCACACAGTTTAGGCTTATGATGCATGACTATCTGTGACTTTGGTTAGGATTTAAATGAATTCCTTAATTATATGGATAAATATCATGTCTTTGGTGAATAGTATTTTTATGTTTAAGTTTATTTATTGTCATTTAAATTTCTTTTCTTGTCATATGATGTAAAAAATAAAGATAAATCATGGTGGGACAGTGTTTCATGTCAGTAAAAAACATCGTCTCTGCAGAACACAGATGCAGCCTTGCTTCCAACCATCAGCTATCCTGCCTTTGCGGTGGACGACGATGCTCTGTACAGTCAGACACTGGACAAGATAGTTCGCAAGCTGCGGGGCAAATACGGCTTCAAACGTTTCCTCCGTGACGGCTACCGCACCACTAATGAAGACAAGGAACGCCGCTACTACAAACCTGCTGAAATGAAGGTGGGTGCTGATGGGACACCTGAGGGATGTATTTCTCTCTGTTTATCTGTGTTTTATTCCGCTGATCTTTTTCTCTGTCGCTCTTGTAATTTTTATGTGTAAAATGTTCCCTTGGGGAATCCCACTAAAGGAAGCAGTCACTCTTACCATTACAGAGAATGACCTGTTAGAGAGGTTTGAGCAAAACCAACTTTGCAGACAGGTGATTACAATATTATGGTCCACTGTAACAAAAGCTGATTTTCAGGTCATGGACACTTAAAAACAAGTAAAACACTGCACAGCATAACAGCAGCGATTTTTCGAAAACAGATTTGTCTCCACAATGGTCTCATTGTTTGCAGTTTTACTGAGATTCCAAGGTAAGTTTAGATTTAAAGAACAACACAAAGTTTAAAAGTGTACCTGGAGTTTATTTCAGGCAACCACAAGCCAAGGAAAGGAAATGCATAAAACCTAAGAAGAGTTCAACTTGAAAGTGCTTGAGTGTGACATTTGAAAAGTTTTTTCTGAATAAGCCTGGCCCAGGCATAAGCCTGAAAAGGTATTATCCTTTTATGATAATGCTAACAGATCTGCCTGTGACTTAGCCTCTCCCATTTCAAGTGTTTTAATCCTCCAGGTATTTCACCGTGAATATTAGTGCATTTGTGTGTGTGTGTGTGTGTGAGTCCCTGTCAGTGTGTGTGCTTGCATATATATGTATGCAAACGGCCCTGCATTCATTGTCCTTTTCTGAATCCCCTGTGATCCTGGCGAAATGACAGCGCATTTACTTTAGAATGAGCTCAGTGAGCGAACGATGAGTGAATCAGAGGCTGGACTCTTAATGCTAAACAAATCATTGCATTAGCTGCAGAACTAACCTCCTAGAATTAATGAGCTCAGAGAAGCAGATGAAGGGATCAGCAGAGATCTAAAAGCACCAAGTCAGAGGCAAGTGGAACTTGTGTTCGGTCAAGAGGATGTTTCACCTCCACATACAAGAGGTCTCATCAGTCCAACTCAATGTCGGGTCATTCACACCTCGATGTTTGAGGTCACCTGACTCTCATGTTAGTCATGTGAACCTTGTTTCCAGCATCAACAGACAGCTTTTTCCTTTTTTCTGTACACTACCTGACCAGCACCAAAACAGGTGACCGGTTTTTCCAGGTTTGGTGGTTTTCCACATTATCAGGCTACTTTTTGCACCATTTGGGCAGTTCAGTCATCAAAACAGCTACCAAATCAGCCGCTTCTCCTTTCTAAGAAATATGATTGAGACCGACAGGGCACTCGGTTCCGTGGACTCGGCTCAAAGTGCCTTCAGAAAGTATTCAGACGCCTTCACTTTTTGCACACTTTATCATGTTGTAGATTTAATTGTACATGGATAGAACTGCCATTTGTGCCTGTCAGTCTCCACTCAATTACCTGTAATAACAAAGTGAGTCGATTTGTGGCAATTTTACCCATTTTAAATTAAATACAGCACAATGAAGTCTGCAAAAAGTGAAAGGGTCTGAATACTTTCTGAAGGACCTGTATCTGATAACTGATGGCCAATGAAATTTCATTTCACTTTTTTAACAACTAGCAATTATTATAAGAACTAAGTTTCTTTCCTGTTTAAATTATAATTCAGGAAAAGCTCTGTGATAAAAAAAACATGGAAAGGTTTACATCTGTTCATATAAGACTTTGATTGTTTAATGTGACATTATTGAAAAGACTTGGTAGAGACAGTTTCTCATTTTATCCATGGTTTTGGGTTTTTGCGTATTTACATTGATAAAACAGAAGACTGTGTTTTGATTGGAGGCTTGATTTAGTTTTTTCCACTTGTACTTAGCTATGCAACATAATACAGCGGCTCTGAGGCTCCTTGCCAGCATCCTAGCAGCCAGATGTTCACATCAGGATTTGTTGGAGACTTTGGTACATTTACCAGGTGGCCAGAAACAAGACTACAAACAATTTATTCTGGTCATTATATGTGAAAAGGCAACCCCTTTTGCTAACATGTTCGCCATGTTAACTCTGTGATGTTTTGTGTTTACTGCTTGTAATGTGGCTAAAGATCAACAATGCAGGTTTAACTTACACTATAACATTTGTGTTATTATATATACTGTATTATATATATATATATATTATTATATATAAATATATATATAGTAAGAATATCTATATTTTGATCATCTTTCATTCTTAATATAATAATAATAATCCTAAAAATAATTGCACTAGGTAACATTTTCTTCAAGGAGATTCTCCTTTACAAAGAAAATACTGCTAATTCATTTACAAAAGACATGTCTTTAAATATGTATGTTGTTAGAATAGCTGTGCACATAGAATATAGTTCCTCTGTGATTTGAAGGCATTGTTGGTGGCTGACCTGTTTTTTTAATGTACTTTAGCAGGATCTGACAGATTGCTGCTCACGGCTCTCACGGCTGCGATGCGGCTGTGAAAAATGTTCAAAACAATATCCCTTTTACAAAATTAGATTGCTTCTGGCTTTTCTTTTATCTCTACGAGAAAGGTGGAGCTGAAACGTTGGTGGTGAAAACAAACCAAAAACACACAAAAAAAGTGCACTGTGGTGGAAGTGCTTGCTTGATAATATGTCACAAAAGGGCAGTTGTGGGGGCACCAACTCTGTATCACTTGGGAAATTAGCTTTCTTTAATCCTGCAGCTAATACGATACGAAGAGTCTGAGGCTAAGAATTAGCAAACAGTGTTCAATGCCTCGGCTCCTTCAAGCTCCATCCAGCCTTCAGTCCTAGCAGCAGGCAGACAGATTTATTGTGGAAGACACTTGTGCCAATTAAGCTTCAGAAAGTAAACTAATCATTGCTACTGCTGCCATTTGCCTTCCATCTACCAACAGTAATATATTTGCTATTACATCAGCAAATACTGCAGGAGAAAAGAATCCATTTATATAAGAGGAAACTGTGCCAGGGGTTCATTTATTACACAATGCAGTAGATATTACCACGTGATTACAGTTTTTCAGTAATGAATATCAAAACAAAACTTAATTTAATTAAAATTAAAACTGATCATTTTTGTAATGTTAGAAGGGAAGCACGGGCCCAATTTAAGAGGAATTATAACAACAAACGAAAAAGTAAAAAGTCATATTTGACCTCCTTTGAGTGATAAGCCAGCATGCAGAGTAGCGAAATGCCAGGGGAGTGTCTGACACAGTGTGAGCTCTGTATGGAGAGAGAGAGAGAAATCACAGGTAGCTCAGGTCTCCCCCGCAGAAGACATCGAGTGAAGTTGTTGTTGGTGTTTAAGAGAGGATTCACAGCACGGCGGACGCCAGTGCTCCCTGTCTGTTTACCATTGACAGAGAGCAGCAGCCTGTGTGATAGACAGTTTTACCAATCAGTCGAGCTGCTCAAGCACAAAACACCAGGGATCCCTGCCTGTTTACAGCCTCAACGGGCCAAAAAGCACAGGCCGCGCTGGGTGACTGCCTCAGCTCTCCCCTTCTCTCTCCCCTCCCCCTAAATATGCCTCCCCCCCTGCTTCTGTATTTCTGTATACACTCTCCTTTCTTTCATTCTCCTTCTCTCTCATCCCTCTGTCACCATCTGATAACTACTACTGCTCCTTATCTCTGCTGAAACACACAGTTTGAAACCATGCATACCTGCATATTCACACGGTGCAGACATTAACCATTTAAAGAAGCACATCCAAGCCTGTGACAGTAGTGTCTGCCTGGTGATAGTGACAACACTCTCACATGTGTGTATTTGTTCGTGTATCTGTGTGTGTGTGTCTGTGTGTGTAGCTCTACCAGCCTTTTGTTATTACTTTAGGATGTAATCTCTGTTATCTTCCATTGGTGTGGAGATTAGTGAAAAAATGGAAGGACAAAGATCGCCAGGACTTGGGGACTAAGAAAAGGACAGAGCTGCTAACCTTGCTGCTGCGTGTTTTGATCCTTTCTAGGCGAGCAGAAGCAAAATGAGATTGAATTACTGAAATGAATAAGACTCGGATTCACTTGACTGTCCTCTCTACATGTGACTTATAACCAAACGATTTAAGAAGGTTTGTGTGTGTGTGTGTGTGTGTGTGTGTGTGTGGTGGTGTGTGTGTGTGTGTGTGTGTGTGTGTGTGTGTGTGTGTGTGTGTGTGTGTGTGTGTGTGGTTGTGTGTTTGTGTGTGTGTGTGTGTGTGTGACATTATACACACATGGTGTGCGATTTATAATACGATTTCTGGTTGAGTAAAATTCAGAAAATAATCCAACAAGTCATGATGTTCACGTCAATTCAAGTGTTTATTCTGCAAAATCCTCTCCAGCTGCCACGTTGGCTTTTTATTTATCTGTGTTCAGTTGACTGAAAACAACCAGAGTCAGTCGCACAAACACTCATCAGTCAGTCAGTCAGTCAGTCAGTCAGTCAGTCATAGCTTGTGATTATGAGGGACAGGTTTAATTAAAATTTAAATAAATAAGAAAAATAAATAAGAAATAAAACCAGAATAAATTAGTGGAGAAACATGACAAAAGCGCATATTTCCATCCAGGATATTTGGGGTCCAATCATATGCTATATTGTAGAAGAAAGATGTTCATCCTTCCCGTAGAGTTCTGTAGACTTGTTGAGTCTGTGACAAAGAGCTTTGAAGCTGGTGGCCCAGCATCTTACTAAGGGTGCTTTTCACCTGGTGACTAACAGCATAACCTGCTGTCAGTCACCAGAATTGATTGATTTGCCCATTGATTCACCACCACATGGGCTCCATGTGGGTGAAGTTTTTCTACATGTGTCTACATCTGCTCTACTTTCAAGTCCCACACATCAGCAGATCTTATGTTAAAGTGGTGGAGGTGTACACCCACACTCAGTGACCTACAAAGCTGTGCTGGTCCACTGATCAGACTTTCCTCTCAGTATGCCTCATGTGTTTATCACTGTATCATAAACGTTCTGACACCTCAGTCCTTCAGTTCCCGCCTCAAAACAAACAGCATAACTTTAAATTTTTCCCCCAAAAAAAATGACCTTGAGAAGGGAAATGCTATTATCCCTCCTTTTTTCTGTCAGTTTTCACTCACAATGTCATGTCTTATATATCTTGTCCCTGTGCCATGCTGTTCCATATTCAGTGCTACTAAAGTTCAGCCATCCGCTTCTTTAAAGTCCATGTGCCTCTCTCGTCTTTCTGAAATGGAAAAGCAATAATTCCTCCTCTGTCCTCTGTCTCTCTCCAGCTTTTTGATGGAATCGAGTGCGAGTTTCCCATATTTTTCATCTACATGATGATTGACGGTGAGTCTTGTTCTATCCACAGCTGCTGTTATGATGCCTCAAGTGGGTCATTGGCAAGATAGAAGACAGACTTGTAGCATTTGACAGGACATTACATTTTGATATTTGCCAGGTTTTAGAGGACTTAGAGACACATTTTAAAAAGATGTGATGTATAAAATTTGTGTGTGAACCTAGGGAATGGTAAGAAATAAAGTAAGGATTATAGTGTCTCCAAGTAATGTGAATTCAAGCATAATTTAATCACCCTCGTGACAATTTATATTCCACCGACATTTTTAGGACTAACGACCAATTTCAATGTTTTTATTAAACATACATACAAACACAGATAGCTCAAAAACTAAGACAAAAACAAAGTAAACAGAAATTACAACACAAGGCTCTAAAATTAAATGCTCTACAACTATCTTGTGTAGCTACTGTGCAAAATTTAGGATACTGTAAACCTACAGCACATATTAGACTCTGAGGCACCTGTCTTCCTGTAGGTCATATCAACATGACTATTGCATTTACATTTTCCTGACTGACGTAATAAACAATTGAGCATAAAATAGCAGAGCCCTGTTAGGGTCAGAATTCAGATTGCTGTTCAGTCAGATATAGTGTCTTTCATTTGTGGAGTACTTAACAGTACTCTAACATTAAAGCTGCAATAATCAATATTTTTATATTAACAATGGATGAAATTACTATATCTATGTGAAATGGGGGCGGCAACATTAGACGAACCAAGTGTGTTAATAGGAAGAAAAAAGCTTCATCGAAGTTTCAGTTTAATTTGTATCATTAATGTGTGTGTGTGTGTTTCAGGTGTGTTCAGAGGAAATAAAGCTCAGGTCAAAGAATACCAGGACCTTCTTGAACCCATCATCTTTCAGTCTTATGAGGGTGAGTAATCACATAAATACACTGTAACGCACACAAACACAAAAGCAGTGACTGGTGAATGCGGAAGAATTACACACATACATAAAACTTTATCTCATTTGGCATATCAATATGATTGGTTATGAAGCCTCTGAGTCGCCTCTGTTCTTTCCCTCTGGCAATGAAAAACTTTCTCTTATTAAATCACGTCATCCATATTCATACACCACATGCTGTGACTGAGTCTCACAGAGGTGTTACATTCAAGTGAATTCAGCCTTTCCTCATGAGCAAATAGCCTGTTCACCTGCCCCCATTGCTGCGAGGGGAGGCAGTCAAATGATAGGGATGTCAAGAGCTTTGAGTTTCTATTGGTCTGTTCATAAAAGAACAGAAATAATTGGAGTGCAGAAAGAATAATGATGTGAGACAGAGCTGACTGAAGTCGGCCCTGATGTCTTCACAGAGCCTTTTACTGGTTATGTATGAATTAACAAAACTCCTAAAGTTAATTGCCTGGGTTTTAAAGGATAAGACAAGTGTACTTTTTTTTCTCTCTCTTCATCATTAATGCCCATGAAAAGTCTAAACCCAAAAAAAAAAAAAAATGCATTTGCTGCTGTCAGGGGCTTCTATTGTCTGTTCTGCTGCAGGTTTGCCTGACCTCCCAGGAGTCGTGTGCTCCCATTGTTTAGATGATACATAGACAGATGCAGGGTGCTGCTCTGGGAGACATACTGCTGTACTCTGGGGAATGGGCAACCAGGTACAGCTGTGTCATCCTTTGAGTCAGTTGGCTATTTCCCTTAGAATCAGGTTGGATATATACTCGAGGTACAATTATGCGCTCCAAGGTGACCAGAATGCACTTTAATAATCAGAGTTGACATTTAATTTCACTTCAGTGTGACATTCTGTTCACATTAACCAGTCTGTGGAAAGAAGGTTATTTACTTGTATCTTTGCCTAACCAATCAGTAGCAAGTGACGTATGTGTCGCACCTGTGTCACTTCCAGTTGACACAAAAGCTGTGGTAGCGGTTAGGAGCAGTCAACTTAACCTTTCTTAACATACAGCCAGAGTCATAAAGAACTAACTTCAGTGACAATAAGAGTGAGGAGTGCTGCATTAGATGGTCTGGCCTCCACAGAGCCCTGATCTCAACATAATGGAGTGGGTCTGGGATTACATACAGACAGACAGAAGCCACAAAGGAACTGTGGCAAGTTCTCAAAGATACTTAGAACAACCTTCCTGCCAAGTACCTTGAAAAACTGTGTACCTAGGAGAATTGGTGCTTTTTTTAAAGGAGCTATGTGTAAGTTTTGCTATTGCTACATAGCCAGTGTTAGCATTAACAGCTTTTTACTTACCAGTCCTTGTATGCGCTTCAGCCATCATTGCGTTTATAACACAAGAGGTTATAAAACATTCTCTCAGCACCTCTACCGCTTTATGGCAGCCTGTAATGATGGTTGAATCATGTAAGTGTGTATATGTTGAAATATAAAAATGTTCTTCTCAAGTAGAAAATTGGTTTAAAACACAGTCCTTGTCTCTCATGCCAGGCCATGCTGTGATTCCCAAATACTACTATGTACCGGCTGATTTTGTGGAGGCGGAGCAGAGCAAGCATGGAAGCCAGAAGCGTTTCCCTAGCAACTCTGGACGTGATGGGAAGGTCTTCTTGTGGGGTCAAGCCCTGTACAACATCGCCAAGCTGCTGGGTATGCCTCTGTGTGTGTTTGTGTGAATGCCGTGGTATAATGCTCCAAACCCATACGTTCATTCTAGTTTTTTAATATTAGCCTGTAAGATCATTATGCAAAACTAATTTGACCTTAAGGTCATATTAGATAAGATTCATTGTACCATGTTATGTGTGTTATGATCGGAAATAGTTTGAGTTGTCAAAAAATCTAAATCTAAAATACTTTTTTCATTATTCATGATTACTTAATGATTGTAAATATTGCTTAATTCGTCACTGAGTTGAATAAAAAGGATGCAGTTGTACTCATCCATTATGTGTGTATGAGTGTCCACATTTGATAGGACATTGATTTTTTTGGTCATTCCTTTTTATGCCTCCGCATCGGTGACAGTCAAAACTGTAGCTATTGCATTTTCGAGTTGTCCGTCCGACCCATTCTCATGAACACGATATCTCAGGAACGCTTTGAGAGAATTTCTTCAAATTTTGTGTGAATATTCACTTGGACTCAAGGATGAACTGATTAGAATTCAGGGAAGGTCACTTTGACCTCACAAAACATAACATAATTCACTAATACACTAATTATGACACAATTTAATACAAATTTCTAATCGCATAACATGATGAAGTGATGATATTTTATATCCAAACTGTCGAAGCTCAATTTCACTGTGACATCATTATTTTCTGCAAAACCACTTCTGGTCATTATTCAACAATGTAACTCAGGAAGAGGAGAATGTGACCATATTTTCTGCAACTTCCTGCAGATTTCTAGTTACACTTGCCATCTTTCTGTGAGGGTGTGTGCATTATATGCATGTTAATGGTTCTTACGTCTATTTTTGTGTGTGTTTGTTCACATTCCAGTGGATGAGCTGATCAGCCCTAAAGATATTGATCCCATCCACCGCTACGTGCCCCACCAGGACCAACGCAACGTCAGCATGCGATACTCCAATCAGGTTAGCTTTAATGTGACTGTGACTGACCGTCGTCACTTGGCTATTATCTGAACTCTGAACTTATTTTACAACTTATTATCTTGAATACTCATATGCACTATGGACATTCATTCTCAGTGAAACACCACATTCAAGTGCTCCTTTTAAACTTGTACTCACCCTTGTAAATATTACAGAACAGAACATTTAAGTGGTTTTGGCCTGAAGTAATAACATACTGTACATGCAGTAAAAATATCTGCTGGCTAATGTTTTATTTTAGAAGTCAAGTAGCAGTAATTACTCTCTGCTGTAGAGGCAGAGAGTGGCTGTAAGTGGATTGCCTGGTCATGATGGAAAACAAAATAGAAGTTCTGTGTTTTTTTAATTTATATAGTACATCCAAAGAGTACTACTTAGAAGTTCAAATAAGGGATACAAACTGACAAGTTGTTGGTGTTTTTATGTTGTTTTTCTTTTACATCTGTAGAGGATAATAATAGGCCTGATTGTGTCAGGATTTTAAAAGTCAAGAGTTGACTGTTTAAAATGTGCTTTTATCATACACATAAAGAGAAATTTTACTGATTGCTTTCACATTCTCAACACATGTAGCCTGTTCTCCAAGAATGGAAAACAGTCCTGCATCCTGCCTTTCCAATGCTGAGAACTGTCACCTAGCTCTCTCTCTCTTCCAGCTGTGCTGTAGACATTTCAAAAGTTGTCCCTCCTTGTATTCAAGTTAGGTCATTAGAAAATCCACTTTCTCGCAAGAATCAAACAGGTTTAAAGTGAGATTGTTCTCACCAGGCAAATTTCATCCATATTCTTTAACTAAACCTCACTAGAGTTTATTCTGGTAAATAAATGAAGAACAACAAACAAGCACCTACATCAGAGGTACCCGATTGTACTGTTCTGTTACCAGAAATAAATGGACATCTGGCAGCTAACTAGAATCAAGCTTTCTGAGTGTCCATGGTATAAACAAAAGCATGTTACTGTAAAAAGTAATTCATTTTTTTTAAAGAAATGTTCAGCAGTATTTTCATATATTTATGAAATACAGCATATCACTCCGGTTATTATATCCGCTCAGTTGAACTAGATCTACACTTGATGCAAGGGTTAACAGGAGTCCCACCTTACATGTGGTTTTGATTTCTTCAGTTCTACAGTTCAGTATTAGATGTCACCCGCTAATAGCACCCCGCATCACCAGATGGATGTATTGTATGTGATCAGGCTTAATCATGCCTTAACACTATTCCTCATTGTGACTGTGTTCACATTCTTTCATTTACTTTGTGAAATGGAGCAACAGTGGGAAACACATGTATTTGAAATTGAGTTACATCAAGGTAACTTCTGTTTTCCTTTGGCTCGTTACTGAGTGTAAATACTCCTAGTATGTGTCACTGAAAAGCCAGAAGAATACTGAGCCATACTTCAACTTCCTCACTATTGTCTTCACTATCAACAGTCTCAGAAATCATCAGAAACTTGTAGGAGAAAACCCAAACTGACATCAAAGCTCTTGAGGTCACTATATAGTACTCTTTTAGCAACAGCATCCCTAATGCGTAGTGACATATGAGGATAGGCAAACGGCAGCTTGGTGTACAATTGCTCCAGCAGCTATGTGCATAGGCTTTGTAGTTATGCAGTAATGCCCATAACACACAACAGAATCCCACCCTTTTTGTGCCCGCAAAGTCCACCTCAGGCGATTCCCATATCCAATTTGAAAAACTTCCCACTAATCAGTCCTGGTCACTTTGTTGTGTTATTCATGTGTGCTAAAGTTTTAATTACAATTCATCCATCAACACCTAAACAGCAGAGGCTATCCTTTTCTACCTTGCCAAAGGCCAGTCTTGCAGATGAGGATTAAATCCAGTTCATTTCCTTCACTAACAGCCTCTCTGAATGAATGCTGATCATTTCTGAGGTTTAATCCATATTTGAGACAGCTGGCAGCTCTGAGGATCACACAGATGAAGGGTGGAGATATGTATACCGCAGCCGGATGGTTCATTCTCTTTGCTGTACAGTGTGGATTGATACATCCCATTCTGCTCCTGTACTGTATGTTGAATTCTGTTTTTTGTAGCTGGGCAGATAAGATAGTGCTAGAACAAGGCACACAAGAGAGGATAGGTCAGCAGAGCTATGATGAATGTCAGACTGAATCAAATTGGTTGCAGGGAGAAAGATCAACAAAAAAAAAAAACTAAGACAGAGAGAAACAAACAAAAAGCCAGAGATGGCATGTCAGCTAGTAGAAAAACTAGCTGATAAGTCTGACAGGGGAACATTTGCCTCTGAGAGGTACAGTGTCATTATTCACCCCCTTCATCGACACTACCTGTCATATTTCAAATATGTTAATTTGAATTGACTTAAAACTGGGTATTATTTAAATATAAATGATATAAAAGATAAATAAGATGCAAATATTGGATGTTCTATTATTTTTTAATACAATTGAAATGGCAATGTTTAGGTTTAGTTGTTTGTATTGACACTACTACCAGTTGGACTGGCAGACATACATTTTCAACCATTTATCTATTACGTTTAGCTAAGTATTTCATGCATTCATACACTATTTTTAGCTAACTATTTTCAAGAATTACATTAATTTTAGCTAACTAGACAGACAGACAGACAGACAGACAGACATTATACATTATCTCACAGCACTTTACAGAGTAAGGTCGAGCAAAAAGCCACAAAGAGCAAGCACTTGGCGACAGGGGGGGCTATGTATTTTAACCATTTCATTACTTTTAGCTAACCCTTTCAACTGTTTATCCATTACTTTAAGTTATCTGTTTCAACCACTTATCCATTACGTTTAGCTAGCTTATGTATTTTAACCGTTACTTATACCTAAATGTTTATCCATTAAAGTTAGCCGGTGCATTCAATTGTTTATCAGTTACTTTTGGCAATCTATTTTAACCATTTATTCATTATATTTAGCTAATCATTTCAACTGCTTATCCTTTACTTTTAGCTATCTGTTTCAACCACTTATCCATTACTTTAAGGTAACTGTAACAGCTTCTCCGCTAACTAGTTTTCACACACTCTTAGTTGCAACAACAGTCTGAGCCCTCCTGGAAAAAATTAGATATTTTGTTGATTTTAAATAAAAGCAAGTAACTACAACCCCTGCAGCAAACTGATATTCAAAATGAGCTTTTCTTGAAATGTTAATGCTTTGTTAGTTTTTATTTCATGAACTCAGAAACCCTACTAAGTCAGTAATTAGTAACCTCGCCTTTGACAGATATCACAGCTTGCTCATGCTTTTTGTAGCCAGCTAAGAGTCTTTCTATTCTTCATTCAGAAATTTTCACACACTGTTCTGTGCAGATCTCTTCAACTTTGGAGATATTTTAGGCTCTTTTGCAAACACAGCATGTTTAAGATCTACTCATGGATTTTCAGTGATGTTCAGATCAGGGGATTGTGAGGGCCATCCCAAAAGCTTCAGCTTGAGTTTCTTGAAGTAGTTCATGGTGGATTTTAAGGCCTGATTTGGATCATTGTCCTGTTGTAGAAGCAAGTCTCTTTTCAGTTTTCAGTTTTTTGACTGACCACAGTTGCATGTTGAATTTGCTGATATTTAGATATTTAGTCCACTCTTACCTCTGAAATGATATGATGAATATTTCCATCCCCATACTTAACAGTTTTCAAGGTGTTCTTTTCATCAAATGCTGCTGCTTTTTTCTACAAACACAACATGGGTGATTGTGGCTAAAAACCATTCATTTCAGCTGTCCACAGCATGTCTGTCCAAATTGACTCGGGCTTATCCAGATGTTGCTTTGCAGACTTCAGACGTTGACTTTTGTGGTGAAGTTGCGGGTGATATTTCTTTCTGATGACTCTTTCATGTAAACCCTATTTGTGCATCGAAGCTGCACAGTGGAATGATGCACCACCAGTCCTGCGTCAGCTGAAGCTCTGCAGTAATATTGGGGTTTGTCTTTGCCTTTCTCCCTGACAGATTTATATCTCAGATTTATATATATCAGTTTTATCTGACAGTTTTCTTGGTCTTCCAGATCTTATCATGACACACAAGTTAATTTATCAAGCTCTGAAATTGTCATCGTCTGACAGTTCATAATGACAGTTCTTGACCTTCTTAACACATCCTAATGAGTCAATTGAGGCCTAATGAATTAATGAGCTTCTGAATGGTATACAAGAAACAGGGTGTCCAAGCTTTTGCAAATGAAACAGTTACTGATTCGTTTTTTTTCTATTTCCTAAGTAACAGTGTGTTAACATTTAAAGAAGGGCTTGTTGTAGGGGTTGTATTTACTTCTTTACACTTAAAAAATCAACAAAATATTCAGTTTGCCCAGGGGTGACTAAACTTATTCATACAACTGTATCCTTAAATTAAATCTTAATTTGATCAGAATAATTGAGCTACTCTACAATCTTTCCACACACCCTTCAGCAACTGAGGAGATACCCCCCTGGGTACAAATACCCTTGGTTTGCTTAAGGGCTGAAAAAGCAGATTAAGTATTTATCAAAACTTGTATGATCTGTGCCTCTTTTTTTTTTTTTTTTTTTTTTTTTTTTTACAAATTGTTAAAGTCTTTAATTGGGCTCTAACAGGGAGCATTTTAAATCTTGTCATTGTTAATAGAATATCAGCATATCAGCATCAGCTTACTTGTACTACGATATTTCTCTGTAGGAAAACAGGTTGAATACACGCAGCTCGATTGTGCTGCCAGCACTGCTTTTATGAATTTAGCTTCTAAACTAGTATGCAGTGTGAGCAAAGCCTGACTCCCCTCAGGTAGGCTGCATATTTTGTCAAGATTATCTGAATAACACTTTGTTGAAACTGGATTTTGAGGCAGCGTGACGGCTTGCTGTGAGCCCGGCCTCTGATGGAAGCAGGCACCGCTCTGCATGCAGCCCATCAGCAAAAGCCTATCACATCTAGTTTGATGTTTTCAGCCACATGCGGTCCAAATAAA